CTCCAATACTGTTTATTTTCTTACCCTAACGCCCCCTCTTTTGTTTTATAAATTCCCCTCTCCCCTTTCCCCTGATGCTTCTATTCTCCTTGATCCCACTACCTTTTCTCTCAGTGTAGCTACAACTAAAAGGATCGATATATCTGTGGCCCCTTAAACATGTACATCCTGAAATTATCAACAGTCTTTTATCTACCCAAAACTAATCCAACAAAAAACTGTCATTTCGCCCCACATCAACGTGTATACTTATTTATCCTCTTTTTCTTAAAATATGTATTACCTATAACAAAACCCCTTTCTTTTAAAATTTAATCAAAGGGCTCCCATTTCATTTAACCTCCCCCCCCCAAACTTACCTACCACACCTCTCAAAAGTTTCTCCTAAAATTTAGCTTCAAATCCCCTACCACAATTACTCTCCACTTGGGTTTTAAAAGGTCCTATACTTCACTTAAATCTCCCAAAAAATCTCTCTTCCCTGCATTCCTTTTTCCCGGTGCATACCGTTATTATGACCCCTTCCGCATCCAAAACCTTTTTTTTTTAATCCAAAATTCTTGAAATTTACACATTCTATTTTCCTTTTTCTCCTTCCATAACGATCATTTAAAAATTGTACCCCTTCCCTTTTCTCTAACTCTCTCAGAACCCCGATTTAAACATACATAATATGAAAGAATTAGATGAAATAAATGCAAATTTAACCTCACTTTGCTGAAAAGAGTCAAGTGACTACTATGATAGTGCTGAGTAGGGAGGAGGAGGAAATGTTATTGTTTGGAAGGAGAGTCCCCATCTCTTTTCTGTCTCTTTTCCTTATTTAGACCTGGTTCAAGTTCACCAGGTTTGACTTTTACTAAAAATCTGTCCAAAGAACTTTGCTTCTGCCTTCTCCTCAGGATGTTTCAGAAATGTGACATTGTCTGGTCATTCCAGACAATGCTATTATGGCTTGTTTGGGTTTTGTTGGGGTAGTACTTCTTTGCCAAAGATTTCTTTGATTAATGAAGTAGGGGCTTCCTCTGTCTCCTCTTCCGAGCTTGAATAGAGTGCATCCATCTTATACTTTTCAGCAATCTCTTTTTTCACCTCCATGGTGATCCTAACCATTTTCTTCATTGCTTGGCTCTTCTCATTAACTTTCTTAAAACTCATGGTTAATGAATTTACTAAAAATTTATGTGAAAAAACACAAAATCACTTGAAAACTCGCAGAGTTACAGCACAGGTTGTTCACTGAATGGTAGCAACGGGCGTACTGATGCTAATCGGCAGTCGTGGCTTTGTCTCGAGAGAGAGGTAAACAAGAGTAGCGTGCAGTGTTGTGACTCGTTTGGACCCATACAAGTTCTAGCACGTGAATCATATTCCAAACAAAGGTCATATACCAAGCAAAAATTTACGCATCCAAACAGGATGTATACCAAGTTGGACTTTTTCCAAAACGGACGTATACCAAGTTGGACTTTTTCCAAAGCGGATGTATACCGAGGTACCACTGTACTTCTTGATGAAGATACTACTGTGCTTTTCGGAGATTCTAAAGAGAAGTTGCAAAGGTCAGTGGACGAGTTTGGGAGGGTGTGTAAAGGTAGAAAGTTGAAAGTGAACATAGATAAGAGTAACATGATGAGGGTATCAAACAAGCTAGGTTGAGAAAAATTGGATATCACATTGGCCACCCTGCCAATGTGATATCCAATTTTTCCGGCTTATTGAAAAAAAAAAAATTACCAGAGCACTGTATCTGTAAGGATTTCCAGTAAGCGTATATGCACCTGGAGAAGAGAGAAGTGTAGAGGAGAGAGAGAGATTTTGGGAAATGTTGAGAGAATATGTGGGGAGTTTTGAACCAAGTATGAGAGTACTTGTGGTTGGGGATTTCAGTGCTAAAGTGGGTAAAAATGTTATGGACGGAGTAGTAGGTAAATTTGGGGTGCCAGGGGTAAATGAAAATGGGGAGCCTTTAATTGAGCTATGTGTAGAAAGAGGTTTGGTAATAAGTAATATATATTTTATGAAAAAGAGGATAAATATACAAGGTATGATATAGCATGTAATGAAAGTAGTTTGTTAGATTATGTATTGATGGATAAAAGGTTGATGGGTAGGCTCCAGGATGTACACGTTTATAGAGGAGCAACCGATATATGAGATCAATATCTAGTTGTAGCTACAGTTAGAGTACGAGGTAGATGGGACAAGAGGAAAATGGCAACAAGAAGTAAGAGGGAGGTGAAAGTGTATAAACTAAGGGAGGAGTAAGTTCGGGTAAGATATAAGCAACTGTTGGCAGAAAGGTGGGCTGGTGCAAGTAAGAGTAGTATGGGGGGGGTTGAAGAGGGTTGGAATAGTTTTAAAAATGCAGTATTAGAATGTGGGGCAGAAGTTTGTGGTTATAGGAGGGTGGGTGCAGGAGGAAAGAGGAGTAATTGGTGGAATGATGAAGTAAAGGGTGTGATAAAAGAGAAAAAGGTAGCTTATGAGACGTAATTACAAAGCATAAGTGTTATAAGAAGAGTAGAGTATATGTAGAGTAAAAGAAAGGTGAAGAGAGTGGTGAGAGAGTGCAAAAGGAGAGCAGATGATAAAGTGGGAGAGGCACTGTCAAGAAATTTTAATGAAAATAAAAAGAAATTTTGGAGTGAGTTAAACAAGTTAAGAAAGCCTAGGGGATGAATGGATTTGTCAGTTAAAAACAGAGTAGGTGAGTTAGTAGATGGGGAGATGGAGGTATTGGGTAGATGGCGAGAATATTTTGAGGAACTTTTAAATGTCGACGAAGAAAGGGAGGCGGTAATTTCATGCACTGGCCAGGAAGGTATACCATCTTGTAGGAGTGAAGAAGAGCAGAATGTTAGTGTGGGGGAGGTGCGCGAGGCATTACGTAGAATGAAAGGGGGTAAAGCAGCTGGAACTGACGAGATCATAACAAAAATGTTAAAAGCAGAGTGTTATATAGTTTTGGAGTGGTTGGTATTTTTGTTTAATAAATGTACGAAAGAGGGGAAGGTACCTAGGGATTGGCAGAGAGCATGTATAGTCCCTTTATATAAAGGGAAGGGGGACAAAAGAGATTGTAAAAATTATAGAGGAATAAGTTTACTGAGTATACCAGGAAAAGTGTACGGTAGGGTTATTATTGAAAGAATTAGAGGTAAGACAGAACGTAGAGTTGCGGATGAGCAAGGAGGTTTTAGAGTGGGTAGGGGATGTGTAGATCAAGTGTTTACATTGAAGCATATATGTGAACAGTATTTAGATAAAGGCAGGGAAGTTTTTATTGCATTTATGGATTTAGAAAAGGCGTATGATAGAGTGGATAGGGGAGCAATGTGGCTGATGTTGCGAGTATATGGAATAGGTGGTAAGTTACTAAATGCTGTAAAGAGTTTTTATTAGGATAGTGAGGCTCAGGTTAGGGTGTGTAGAAGAGAGGGAGACTATTTCCCAGTAAAAGTAGGTCTTAGACAGGGATGTGTAATGTCACCATGGTTGTTTAATATATTTATAGATGGGGTTGCAAAATAAGTAAATGCCAGGGTGTTTGGGAGAGGAGTGGGATTAAATTATGGGGAATCAAATGCAAAATGGGAAGTGACACAGTTACTTTTTGCTTATGGGAGATTCTAAAGAAAAATTGCAAAGGTTAGTGGATGAATTTGGGAGTGTGTGTAAAGGTAGAAAGTTGAAAGTGAACATAGAAAAGAGTAAGGTGATTTAGATAAAGAAAAATTGGATATCAAATTTGGGAGGAGGAGTATAGAAGAAGTGAACATTTTCAGCTATTTGGGAGTTGATGTGTCAGTGGATGGATTTATGAAGGATGAGGTTAATCATAGAATTGATGAAGGAAAAAAGGTGAGTGGTGTGTTGAGGTATATGTGGAGGCAAAACATGTCATCTGTGGAGGCAAAGAAAGGAATGTATGAAAGTATAGTAGTACCAACACACTTATATGGGTGTGAAGCTTAGGTTGTAAATGCTGCAGTGCGGAGGCGGTTGGAGGCAGTGGAGATGTCCTGTCTAATGGCAATGTATGGTGTAAATATTATGCAGAAAATTCGGAGTGTGGAAATTAGGAGAAGGTGTGGAGTTAATAAAAGTATTAGTCAGAGGGCTGAAGAGGGGTTGTTGAGGTGGTTTGGTCATTAGAGAGAATGGATCAAAGTAGAATGACATTGAGAGCGTATAAATCTGTAGGGGAAGGAAGGCAATGTAGGGATCATCCTTGAAAAGGTTGGAGAGAGGGGGTAAAGGAGGTTTTGTGGGCGAGGGGCTTGGACTTCCAGCAAGCCTGCGTGAGTGTGTTAGATAGGAGTGAATGGAGACGAATGGTATTTGGGACATGACGAGCTGTTGGAGTGTGAGCAGGGTAATATTTAGTGAAGGGATTCAGGGAAACTGGTTATTTTATATAGACGGACTTGAGTCCTGTAAATGGGAAGTACAATGCCTGCACTTTGAAGGAGGGGTTTGGGATATTGGCAGTTTGGAGGGATATATTGTGTATTTTGATACGTATATACTTCTAAACTATTGTATTCTGGGCACCTCTGCAAAAACAGTGATTATGTGTGAGTAAGGTGAAAGTGTTGAATGATGAAAGTATATTCTTTTTGGGGATTTTCTTTCTTTTTGGGTCACCCTGCCTCGGTGGGAGACGGCCGACTTGTTAAAAAAAAAAAAGTGTACTTGATGGTTTTCTTTTAACTAATGTGGGACATATTGGTTATTTTATATTGGATGTAAAATAACCATGTGTATACAAGTGTGGAATCATATGTTGTATTGAGCATTAAATGATCTTTTCGCTCTCAGTCTTTGTAAATTTTAAGTCTTTCTTCTTTCCTTCTTCAGAAGAATAAAGTAAAGCTGTTCATACCAGAGTACATACCTGCACCTTAGATGAGTTTAGAAATTGTGAATTTTGAAATTTTGTACATTTTTTCCTTGAGCTTTTAGATACAATCATGTTAAAAAAAATTATTTTTCAGGATATGTTACCGATCAGAATAATGCACCATTACTTGGTGCCATGATAAAAGTTGAAGGTTCTCCACATACTGTTTTATCATTGGATCATGGAACATGGTGGCGTCCTCTTGTGCCTGGTGCTCATACACTTACAGTGAAACTTGATGGCTATCTTGAGCAGACTAAACTTGTACAGATTATGGGAGGAGATACAGTTATCTTCAAGCTCAAAAGAGACGACCGTGTCATGGGTCTTCCTAGAATGGTTTTCATTATTCTTGCTGGTGAGTATTAGCTTTTATCATTACTATTTACCTTTTTGTCTTACAGCCAAAGGAAAAATTTCCAGTATGTTATACTGGAAATTTCAATTTTTTTTAAATTTTAGTAGACTCCCTCAAGAAGCATATTTGCACAGTGGATTTTTCATAAAGTAATCATAAAAAATGCAGCCAGTGCATTTTTCATAATGTAATCACAAAAATATAGCCATAAATGCATCAGAAAAAAATTATATTCAAATCACTTGCTGTTCAATGACAGAGTGGCCCACCTCCCAGTTGGGCCTAGGGATTTTTCACATATAAAAATGACCCAGCAGGTGCCTCCCATTCATTTCTGGTTGTGTCCTCATCCCCCTACCACTTAACTACACTACTGTGTACTTACATATTTGTAGTTACAGAATCAAAGCTAAGCTCAATGTGTCCTGTCTTTGTTATTTAATCTGTCATACTGTTTTTAGTGGTATCACTTGCTACCTTCTCTTGTAAACTATTCCATTGTTTTACAAAAAATTGTTAGTATTGGTTTGTTACCTCTTCTTAGTTTATAGTGATTGCCTTTTGTTCTGCCAGTTGAGGATCTTAGGAAATGTTCCCTGTCAGTTTTTTTCATTTTTTTTTTTTAACTTACTGGCTGTCTCCCACCTAGGCAAAATGACCCATAGAAGAAAATGCATTCACCATTTTCACTCAGTCACTGCCTTTGCAGGAGTGTGCTGACATCAGAGTCAGATTACCTTCCAACTGCAACATTTCCACCCCACCTTCATTGTGCAGACATTACTCTTCTTGCCTCCAGGACTCAGGTCTGGCTAACCAGTTTTCCTGAATCCCTTCCTAAAAGTTACCTTGCTCATGCTACAAACGCATGCCCCTTAACAACCACTTGTTTCCATATATATTCCTCTCGAACATACTCATACAAGCCTGCTGGATGTTCAAACGCCTAAAACTCATAGCCTCTTTTACCCCCTCCCTCTAACTTTTCCTGGGATGACCCTTTCTCCTGTCACCCCAGATTTATACACCCTCTTCATCAACTTAACCTTCTCCAGTTTCTCTATGTGCCTGAATGACCTCAACATCCCCTCCCCAGCCTTCTGAATTACATCACCTTTTAATTTCTACTCTCAAAATTCTCTGCATGATATTCACACCACACATTGCTCTCAAACATGACATCTCTGCTACTTTTAGCCTCCTTTTTGGTACATCATTCAAAACCCATGCCTCACACCCTTTTTAATCCTTTTATAATCTGTAATGTGATCATTATCTCTTCTTGTCAGTATAAGATGACACGTCCAGTGCCTTAAGCTTTTCTTCGCAACTTCTAATTTTTAACTCTGGCTTGTAGATACAAATGGTGGGCTGCTGGCTGTAATGAATAAACAACACATTGCAGTAGAATTTTGTATTAGAACAATGTTTTGTTCTTTCTAGAAATTTATAAAGTCATACGTAAGACACGAAACACAAACATATCCTGCTAAGAGGAGAGGTAGAAGCAGGTGAGATTCCATAGAGGTGAGGCTAGTGAAATCATGGAATTGTGAACAATTGTGGGTCATTGGTGCAGGAGCTCTGCAGCAGTGTGTTGACAGCACAGTAGCAGCAGCAGCAACAACAGGCAGGGCAAGGCAAACGGGCAAGTCTTTGTACATCAGTTGCCCATTTTTTACTTTTTTTTATCAACACATCTGCCGATTCCCACCAAGGAAGGGTGGCCTGAAAAAGAAAAACTTTCATCATCATCATTCGCTCCATCAGTCTTGCCAGAGGGGTGCTTTACACTACAGTTATAAAACTGCAACATTAACACCCCTCCTGCAGAGTGCAGACACTGTACTTCCCATCTCCAGGACTCAAGTCCGGCTTGCCGGTTTTCCTGAATCCCTTCATAAGTGTTACTTTGCTCACACTCCAACAGCACATCAAGTATTAAAAACCATTTGTCTCCATTCACTCCTATCAAATACGCCCATGCATGCTTGCTGGAAGTCCAAACCCCTCGCACACAAAACCTCCTTTACCCCCTCCCTCCAACCTTAACTAGGCTGACCCCCTACCCCGCCTTCCCTCCACCGGATGATAGTTTTGGTAATCCCGTACCTCCTAATTTCCAAACTACAAATTCTCTGCATTATATTCACACCACACATTGTCCTCAGACATGACATCTCCACTGCCTCCAGCCTTCTCCTCATTGCAACATTCATCGCCCATGCTTCACACCCATATAAGAAAGTTGGTATAACTTTATTTTCATGCATTCCCCTTTTTGCTTCTACAGACAAAGTTCTTTGTCTCCACAGACTCCTAAGTGCACCACTCACCCTTTTCCCCTCATCAATTCTATGATTCACCTCATCCTTCATAGACCCATCTGCTGACATGTCCACTCCTAAATATCTGAATACATTCACCTCCTCCATACTCTCTCCCTCCAATTGATATCCAATCTTTCATCACCTAATCTTTTTGTTATCCTCATCACCTTGCTCTTTCCTATATTCACCTTTAATTTTCTTCTTTTACATACCCTACCAAATTCATCCACCAGCCTCTGCAACTTCTCTTCAGAATCTCCCAAAAGCACAGTGTCATCAGCAAAGAGCAACTGTGATAACTCCCACTTTGTATTTGATTCTTTATCTTTTAACTCCACACCTCTTGCCAAGACCCTCGCGTTCACTTCTCTTACATCCCCATCTATAAATATATTGAACAACCATGGTGACATCACACATTCTTCTCTAAGGCCTACTTTTACTGGGAAATAATCTCTCTCTCCTACATACTCTAACCTGAGCCTCACTATCCTCGTAAAAACTCTTCACTGCTTCCAGTAACCTACCTCCTATACCATACACCTGCAACATCTGCCACATTGTTCCCTAACCACCCTGTCATATGCCTTTTCCAAATCCATAAATGCCACAAAAACCTCTTTAGCCTTATCTAAATATTATTCACCTATGTTTCACTGTAAGCACTTGGTCTACATACCCCCTACCTTTCCTAAAGCCGCCTTGTTCATCTGCTGTCCAGCTCTCCGTCTTACTCTTAATTCTTTCAATAATAACTCTACCATGACTCGCGAAATTGTAATGACACGATTGCAAACAAACCATACCACATGCGGGGATAGAACTCGCGATCAGAGACTCAAAACTCCAGACCATCGTGTTAGCCACTGGACCAGCTAGCCACAATAAGATTTGTCCAACTAGGTATATTTCTACACCATAGGAAGGTTAGCATAGGCACTACTGTGACCACAAATGCAAGTTTTTACAGACGAATCTCCAGCTAACATGGCCGTGACGAACTCTAGCTCAAGTCCTCTCAAAGCCGTCAACATAACTCAAGAAATCGTAATGACACGATTGCAAATAAACCATACCATGGGCGGGGATAGAACCCGCGATCAGAGAGTCTCAGAACTCCAGACTGTCACGTTAGCCACTGGCCCAGATAACCACAATAAGATTCTTCCAACTAGGTATATTTCTACACCATAGAAAGGTTAGCATAGGCACCACTGTGACCACAAATGCAAGTTTTTACAGACAAATCTCCAGCTAGCGTGGCCGTGACGAACTCTAGCTCAAGTCCCCTCAAAACCGTCAACATGACTCATGAAATCATAATGACACGATTGCAAACAAACCATACCACAGGCGGGGATAGAACCCGCGATCAGAGAGTCTCAAAACTCAAGACCGTCGCGTTAGCCACTGGACCAGCTAGCCACAGTAAGATTCATCCAACTAGGTATATTTCTACACCATAGCTAGAGATTCATCTGTAAAAACTTGCATTTGTGGTCACAGTGGCGCCTATGAGTTTTCTTGGATTTTATCTTAATAGTTCTTGTTCTTATTACTTTTTCCTTTTATATCCATGGGGAAGTGGAATAAGAATCGTTCCTCTGTAAGCCATGCGTGTTGTGAAAGTCAGCTAAAATGCCGGGAACAATGGGCTAGTAACCCCTTTTCCTGTAAAGATTACTAAAAATAAGAAGAAAATTGTCAAAGTGGGATGTCTGAATGTGCGTGGATGTTGTGCGAACCATAAGAAAGAGATGATTTTGGATGTTATGAATGAGAAGAAGCTGGATGTCCTGACTTTAAGTGAAACAAAGCTGAAGGGGGTGGGAGAGCTTCAGTGGAGAGAAGTAAATGGGATTAGGTCATGGGTTTCAAATAGTGTTAGAGCTAAAGAAGGAGTAGCAATAATGTTGAAGGATAAGCTATGGCAGGAAAAGAGGGAGTATAAATGTATTAATTCAAGGATTATGTGGAGTAAAATAAAGGTTGGATGTGAAAAGTGGGTTATAGTAAGCGTATATGCTCCTGGAGAAGAGAGAAGTGTAGAGGAGAGAGAGAGGTTTTGGGAAATGTTGAGTGAGTGTGTGGGGAGTTTTGAACCAAGTGTGAGAGTACTTGTGGTTGGGGATTTCAATGCTAAAGTGGGTAAAATGTTGTGGAGGGAGTAGTAGATAGATTTGGGGTGCCAGGGGTAAATTGAGCTATGTGTAGAAAGAGGTTTGGTAATAAGTAATACATCTCTTATGAAGTAGTTTGTTAGATTATATATTGGTGGATAAAAGGTTGATGGGTAGGCTTCCGGATGTACATATTTATAGAGGGGCAACTGATATATCGGATCATTATTTAGTTGTAGCTACAGTTAGAGTAAGAGGTAGATGGGACAAAAGGAAAATGGCAACAATAAGTAAGAGAGAGGTGAAAGTGTATAAACTAAGGGAGGAAGAAGTTCACGTGAGATATAAGCAACTATTGGCAGAAACGTGGGCTAGTGCAAGTATGAGTAGTGGGGGGGTTGAAGAGAGTTGGAATAGTTTTAAAAATGCAGTATTAGAATATGGGGCAGAAGTTTGTGGCTATAGGAGGTTGGGTGCAGGAGGAAAGAGGAGTGATTGATGGAATGATGAAGTAAAGGGTGTGATAAAAGAGAAAAAGGTAGCTTATGAG